AGATGTGTATAAGAGACATCTTCTGTGCTTCCACTAATTTCAGGAGGACCAAACCCTGCGCCAGCAAGGCAGCTGGGATCACTCATGTCGGAAGAGTTCAACTTGCCCAATAAACGAAAACAAACAGCAACAAATTAACAAAGAGGGAATAAATAAAAGGGAAGAAGAAAAGAGGAAGAAAAAAATAGTAAAAAAAAAATAAATAAAAAAAGGAGAAAGAAAAATTGAACAAATAGAAAAAAACTAATAAAATAAATAAAAATTCAAAAAATTCAAAGCAGACTGGCAAACCTCAGAGGCCAGAGGGAGAGAGCCAGTTGCGTCTGAATGTATTAATTGTAGGTTTGAGCAAGGGATTACAAATAAATCTGAATATCTATAGCTTCAAAATTCGCCGGTTATTTCAAGGAACGAAAATTACACACGTGCTTTCGCCACGAACGCAACTGACTTTCTCCGGTGCACGGCTGCGTACCTCTCCTCCGGCAGTCCGGCCTTGCATAAAATCTTCCGTGCACCACCAGACCGCGGATCGAATATGACTTCCGGGCATCTTTATATTACGTAATTTTACGTTCACCCTATCTGAAGTTAGGTTCCAGATAGCATAGTTCGTTTGAAAAATTTATCGTCCCTCGACGAGTGGTCGTTCGACCGAGGGCTGGTAGGACGCACGGCCTAGATATGATTGTTCAGATTTGTTGAAGGCTACGTTCCAGAAGGCAGGAATCATGAAGACCCATTACATCCAGGGCAAAGATAGTCTTCGGCAAGCGACCCTGTTGCGTCACTGAGATCGAGAAACGTAAACCAAACCCGTCATTCTCATGACGGATTGGTTGACTACTTTGAACGCGTTTCGGCGATTGGTTAATGCCAGTGACGTCACTGAGATCAGTGACGTCACATGCGAACAAAATGTTCCATCCGCAAAAATGAGCTTCTCGTGGGTCAATCTCATAATAGTTTAACCATGATTAAACTAGTATAAGGTTGACCCATGAGAAGCTCATTTTTGTGGATGTAGTTCGTTAGCCTGTGATGTCACTGATCTCAGTGACGTCACATGCATTGACCAATCACCGAAATGCAATCAAACCAGTCAACCAATCCGTCATGGGAATGACGGGTTTGTTTACGTTTTTCGATCTCAGTGACGCAACATGAAAGATGACCTGATAGACGGAACTTCTCGTTGGTCAATCTTATATAGTTCAACCATAAGTTCAACCATGGGTCGTTGTGACGTCACCATGTGACGTCACAGTGTGATTCAAACTGATTGCAACCCATGTTTTTCTTAAAATAAGATTAGTTGAAGTAAATAAATTTTTTTGTGCCATTTCAATGAGGTTAATTTTTTATGGTTGAACTAATACAAGGTTTTTCCTAGTGCAGCTGCGCCTCGCGGATGTCATTTGTTATTCCAACTGTGACGTCACCTTGGCTCTTGTGACGCCACCCCGTGGCGTCAAACTGATTTCTAAAGGCCCGTTCACACTAGAGGCAACACACGAGAATCAAGTGCCTCAAAGCGCATGCAGAGG